AAAAAAAAAATTATTTCGGTACGATCATTTTTTCGACCAATTTCCTTGCCACATACACCCATTCATACACGGACGTCCAAAAGAGATTATGTTTAATGTTATTATTTATTATGTTAAACAACAAAATTGTTATTGAAATATATTTTATGTGCCTGACAAATTATTCGACTTGATATAAGTGTACTCATATTAACCTGTAAGTGCGATATAAATAATAAAAAATCAATTTCAGTTTCGAGAAAACTGCTTTTTTTGAAATGTCGAGAGTAGAGCACAACCTCAACGCTTCGCTTATGAGGCGTGCAATAAAACCTAATTTTTTAGATAATATTTTTAATTCTAATTTTGAATGTAAGTGGTACAATTTTCGGTCATCTAAAATTAGAAAAATTTTCTTATACTTCAAAAGATAGCAATACTTATCTATTGTATTTAAAGTAATAAGTACATAAGTTTGATACATTAAATTATTGTTACTATTATTTGAATGTTACTACACTGACAAAATAAAAACCTAGTTACATAAATCGTCAGAAAAATTTTCTTATACAAGTAATAATTGAATAAATAATTTCCTTTTTGCAGTTAAGAATCTTGTCGGTGGAAGAACATATTACTTTAGAGTATTTGCACACGCAGCGACGACTCATAGCTCGAGTGATGAGGTAAAATTCCCAGTGCCAGCTCGCGTCAAGCACAAGGCTATCACTGCCGGAGTTGTAGGTGGTATACTATTCTTCATTGTCGCAATAATCCTCAGTATATGTGCAGTTAAAATATGTAATAAGCGGAAACGGCGAAAACAAGAAAAAGGTATTTTCTACCAGCAATTTAAAGAAAAATATATTTATCTTGAGCCCCGATTAATTTTTCTTTTCTTTTTTTTTGTAAAATTATAGAACTGATTTCAGCATACAATCTGGTAGCCTGCAGACCGACAGATGCTCGCAATGGGGCTGGCCAAGTGCCCCCGGGAACAGTGCCTTTGAAAAAGTAAGCTTGTATATTTAAATAATACTTAATCTTACAACGATAATTCATTTTAATAATTTATTACTAATGATTTTTTAATCACGGCCCTTCTTAGGGATTGTGGAAATGTTTTATGAAAATAATTAAGACTAAGAATTGCACTTGTTAATAATTTTTTTAACTAATTAGTTAATTTGGGCGGGTAAGCCATACGCGATATAAGTAAAACTTCTTACTTTGGTAGAGACGAATTATAATTATTTATTTTATTGACCAAAAAATAATTAATGAGAACAGTAAAATTCAAATGAACAAATGGAAAATTAACTGCGTAAGAGCTGGTGCATTTTGCACGACTCATGATGCGAAGCATTTCGGCAACTATTTTTGTTGAAGCAAGATATTTTGCTTACTATTGTGAACATAATTTAATGGAGATTCATTCCATACTTTTTTAAAATTGATTTAATGCAATGTAAACGGAAAAAAACATCAAAATATAGTATCAAAAAAATTTTCCCGTCTGTCAATCTGGTATAAAATCAGAAATGTAAGTATGTAACTTGTGAAAAAATCTATCAGTTGAGTCAATTTTTTTTTTATAAAATCCTTTGAAGGAATTGCAAGTCTTTCATCGCGAATGGATCTGCAATTCAGTATCGTTTCATTGTAATCAATCAACAAAATAAAATAAAAATTCAAAAGACTGTGTATTTAAATATATTTATATAAACTTAACATGTATGCATGGAAAAAATGAGATTTAACTGGTTTCCATGTCAGATGGAACCTAGTTCCATCTATAGTGAAAAATGTACAGATGGTAACTATTTCTATGTAGATTGTAGTAGGGACAATCTTCGTTAAACTAAGTTCAATCCGAGATGGGACTCAGTTCAACGAAGATTGTCCCCACTACAATCTAGATAGAAGTAGTTATCATCTATACATTTTTTCACTATAGATGGAATTAGGTTCCATCCGACATAGAAACCAGTTAAATCTCATTTTTTCCGTGTGGTGATATATCTATAAACATTATATAGGCTAGGGGTGCCTGTACATTATCGTCCTAGTAAAGTTATTTTAGATTTTTTTCACATATTTCATTCAATTATTTCGCAATTAAATGAGCATTATGAGTCGTGCACTTTTGGATTTTCCAAATTTTTTTTTCAGCTGCTATGATAACTGTTTTCATGGTAACTGTTGCTATCATATCTTTTTCCATAATAACGGTTGCTATGGCAATTTTTTCGATGATAATCGTTGCTATAATGACTTCCATAGTAATTGTTCTATGGTAACCGTTGTTATGATAATTTTTTGCGTAGTAACTGTTGTTAAGGTAATTTTTTTCGTAGCAACTGTTGTTATGATGATTTCTCTATGGCAACTGTAGCTATAATAATTGTTTCTACACAGAAAAAAAAATTAACTTGAATCAAGTAAATAATTTTGAAGAATTTCATCTTCTTGATTTAAGTAGAAATATTCTTAAACTAAGAAATTTTTCTTGGTTTAAATAAATTTTATTCAATTCAAGAATTTTTCTCTTGATTCAAGTTAATTTTTTTTTCAGTGTAGTAATCAAAATCATTATTTGGTAACAGTTGCTATAATAATTGTTTCCATGGTAATCAGCAAAGAAGTTTTACTTGAAAATCGTGAAAAGTTATGTACACAATACGTAATTATGTTTCAAGTATCAAAATATACGTTGAACTATTAATGATTAATTATTACAAATGCAATTCAAATTATTTAAATAAGTTAATTTGGAATAGAAAGATTTAGCATTTAAGTCCCCGAGCAATAGGCCACCGAAGCACCACAGTAATAATGAAACCTCTCACGATCAATTTATAGAGTCAATAACAATCGTTTTTAATTTAGTGAAATACATATGAATATATACCGCTGAAAACATTATCAGTATATATGCATAGAGTATTTTATCGATCGATAGGTAAAATTAAGGCTAATTTGAATATTGAAAAAATTTTATATTCTCGGAAAACAATGAGCCTTAGATTATTTAGACCGGCAGAATTTAACCGCAGCAGCAGAGGTATTTTGGACGAGGTTGGAGTGCGACGTAGTGTATTGATTAATAACTAAATAAAAAAACATCGAATTACTTTTGACATTACGGACGAATAATCACTGCACTCGGTCTATTTATTCACGTTCCTCGTGCACTCAGATCGGCCCTCGTAATGAACATTCAAGACACAAGCACGTAATCATTTTATCGAGTAATTGTAATTAAATCAATAAATATATTTAATTAAATGATATCAGTATTAATATGCAAATTATTATTTAAACGGCATCCAAAAGTCCACAATACGACTGCAGTGATGCCTATTCTGGATTATTATCTTGTAATTTTCGAACTTTTGTTATCGTGTCTAATTATTTATTTTAAACAATAAAATCTATTTATTCATTTTTTTTCCAATTTATTATTATATAAAAACGTGCAAAAATTTTAATAACACATCGGTTAGTTTTTTTTCCGTTATTAATATTAATAAAGAAATTTATTCTGCTAAATTCTCGCGGTTAGTTTTTGTGTCGCTGATCGATCTTTATGCCATCCATGTGCCTACATAATATCCAGAACGGGTTGGACGGTTCAGCCACTGCCGAGAATTTAATTATCCTTCGCTCTGTAAGGTTAATTAAAGTTTAATCAAAATTAAAAGAAAAAAAATTTAATATACAAATAATTGTTGTTATTATTATTATTATTATTAAAATAAGAAAAGAACGAAGTATAGTACAGAGCACAGGATAAATGAGAGATAAATTAGTGAGAGGAACTGGGGTAATCGCTTTGGTGACAGTGAATCTTTTTTGATTGCTTCCGTTTCAGTGCTTATAATCGTCAAGTGAAGCAAGCAAAAAAGAGCTTCACGTGCACATATCTCGTTTATAGTACGGAAAAAAAATCGTCATTTTTTTTCTTATTTTTTTTTTTTATTATTGTAGCAATGAGAGCTTAACAGAAGTATTTTCCTGTACATTTATATTTTAAAATACTTGTCACGCTTCAATTGTCGTGTTTATTCAATGGAAGATTATTATTTTTCTGGGAAATAAAATTGTTTGTTTTTTTATAAAAATAGCAGCAGAGTCAGCTAAAAAATATCTAGATTTAGAGCTGTTTAAATTTTTTAACTTTAAACTGGTTTCTGAATTGAAACAGTGCTCGCTCGAAATGGTTTTCAATTGTGTTCAATTTAACTGTTAATTAAAGTATAGAAATTAATTTAACAAAAATAAAATTCACGTTACAGTTTTTAATTTTTAAATTTAACAAATATTAACTTATTCCGTGTAATTTACTACGGCTATTTTTCGAACACCCGTATTGCGTCGTTTGAAACTTCGTAGTAAGAAAAAATCTTGAGAAAATTTCCAAAATTTTAAAATCGTAAAATTAATACTTGAAAGTTTATTTAATAGAAATATTGATGAAAATCGTTATTTTTCAAATTTTTTAAACACTTTAAAAATAGTTATACGTCATTAAGCCAGAAGAGACAATTTTCCGACAATGTCAATGTTGCGAAATAAAGGTACGCTTAAGATTTGTGGCGCGGATTTACGAAAATGCGTGTAAATTTATACTATTCATATTTTTTGTCATTATTGCTCAGGAAGTTAAATTTGAGATACTGCACGGAAAAAAATAAATAGTAAATGCAACATGATGCAGTCTTGGTAAATAAACATGACGAAATCATGTTGCGGTAGCATGAGAAAAATCATGTGGCAGCAACATGATTTGTCATGTTTCGGCTACATTACAATCATGTTGCGGTAGCATGAGAAAAATCATGTGGCAGCAACATGATTTTCATGTAACCTTAATAGCATAAAATTAAGCTGCAACGACTAAAGGTTTATAATATTGTATGTAATATTAGTGTATAATAGTCTATCATGTTGTTGCCACATGATATTTCTCATGCTATCGCAACATGATTGTCATGTAGCCCAAATATGACAAATCATGTTGCCGCCATATGATTTTCTCATGCTATCGCAACATAATTGTCGTGGAGCCGAAACATGACAAATCATGCTACCACAACATGATTGTCATGTCAACATGATTGTCATGTAGCCCAAATATGACAAATCATGTTGCCGCCATATGATTTTCTCATGCTATCGCAACATAATTGTCGTGGAGCCGAAACATGACAAATCATGCTACCACAACATGATTGTCATGTTGCTGAAACACGACAAGTCATGTTGCTGAAACATGATAAATCATGTTGCTGAAACATGGCAGATCATGTTTCTGCAACATGATTTCATCATGGTTATTTACCAAGACTGAATCATGTTGCATTTACTATTTATTTTTTTCCGTGCGCGTCTCCGGAAAATAATCATAAAGAACATCAACTTATCGTTAAGTTATAAATTGAAGAAACTTTGAAACTTTAAATTCAATAAAAAATCTTATTTTGAAATAAATAAAGTTTGTAGTATGACGAAATAGCAGGCATGCGAACTAAATGGACTCAGTCAATTATGTATTACGTTATATACAGTACATTGATTTTTTTGAATATTCAAAACTGTACACAGAATGTATTAACATTTTCGTGCACTTATGCATAAATTCTGAATAAAATCTGCGCAAATTAATATCATAACACAAAAAAAGAAACAATTTTATTTTCTCGTTTAGATTTTTTACCATTGAATGTACTTACTCTTAATAAATTCCTGCAGTGATTGAACCTCCGGCGAAAAGCACAACAATGATAGAAAGTTTAAATCGAATAATTAGCATGAAAGAAAAATTTTTAACTGCAATTAATCATCAATAATTAAAACTCTCGCTACAATAAAAAAAATAATATTTTTCCGTATTTTAAGAAAAAAAAAAAAACAAGTCGAAAAATGAATAACGTGGATGGTCTCCTTGTCCTCTGTATGTTCTGTAGGTCGACAAACTTAAACGCGTGCGGCGAGTCAGTGTCGACGCTGACCCGTTGCAGCCCGTTGAACCCGCAACCACAACCTCATCATCAACCACTTCCTACGCAAGTAACCCCCGTGACAGTCACCTCGGAGCAGGTCCACGAGGCACCCTCGAATCGTGACCGTGACCACCATGCACTACATCTCGATAATCGAGATTACGAGAGCGTGTTTATCATAGAGAGGCGGAACAGTAAGCCCAATCTCCGCTAACCAGACTAATTAAAGTTTCAACCCGGACCGCAGATAAACGCAGTCACACCACCTTACAGTGATTTACCATCTAGCATGACCGACCAATTGATTTATTGACTGATTTTGTTTAACTATTCAATGATAGAGTGCATAACTAATGAACAATGTACGGACGAACTAAGAAAAGATAAAAGATATATTAAATTATTATCAACACTCCGCTCTGCAATGGTTACTACCTCTGCTAATTAATAGGACCTACTAATCTACCATCGATACCTACTGTCTACTACTTAGTCATGAGATGATTGTCATGAGTGATAACTCGAACTATAGATGTCAGATGAACATTCAGGCAATACAGGCAAAACTAGGACTCATTAGTTCTTCCAGTCAGTACCCAGAGCTTATCTTCGCTCGGCGGCCTAGGGAGTACATAGATTTTTTAGTTTTTTTTTTTTATCAATTTTAATATGTGGTCATATATTTATCAACATTTGTTATTTTGGCCACATTTCCCTTTTTTATTATTATCAGTATTGCTATTTATGCATTGAGAAAAACGCTTGATTCAAGAAAAATTTTTCCTTTAATATTGATGTTTCAAAATATTCAGGAAATTAATTCGCTCTAATTAATGAGCTATAAATTAAAACTCTTCGATAAACTGAATATTCTTCAGATTTTTACTGTTTTTAAATAAGATACATCTGTACTTTGTCCAAGAATTTATTTCTCGAGAAATAAAATACTGTATATTTTATATAAAATTTAGATTTTAGAAGCAGTATTACTTCAGAATGAATTTTACATAAAATCATTATAATTTTCTGAAAAATATGTAGAAAAAAAAAGAACTAAATTTCATGAAATTTTTTTCATACTTGAATCGCGGATTGTAGATTATTAAAAAGTTTTTAATAAATAAAAGTAATAACTCGAAACATTTGATGGAATTTTTCGATAGAAGCTGATAATTTTGTATAAGCACTAACTATAAAAAAATTGAATAAAAAGAACGATATAAAATTTTTACATAAGGTAAAGTACCCAGTACTTGAACAGTACTTGAACTATGAGTAATATGTGTATGTTATAATTATTCAATGATACAGTAATTGATTTTGGTAAGTTTTTTCAATTTTAAATCAAAACAATTACATTTTTGTTAACTTTAAAGTTGACATGTCGAGAATTACCGATAGATGCTATTTTTTTCATGAAAAAAGTACTAAACCGTAAACCGAACAATCAGTAAAAAAACGGTATATCATCATTTTAAGTGAAAAAAATTGTACCACCCAATGAAATAGTCTTTTCTAAATAATACATATTTTTTGCAAAGACATAAACTATAATTTTTATATTAAATTTTAGCGTTCAACTATACCTCCCAATTTTCAAAGCGGTACCCAGAACTTGAACAAGCTGGGACCGTAGAATTTTAACAGCACTTTAACCTTTAACGTAGTTCCAGCGTGGTATAGTATAGTCAGAGCATTTACTATGGACAAAAATTTAAAAGCCTCGGCACACAGACGTTCACACATACAATTACATATTGTTAGTCTAGTGATCTGGCAACGTTGCTCTTGAAAACCGTGAAAGATTTGAATTTCCCGCTTTTTATGCTACACTATTTCAGGGAGCGTTGCGCACGGCGTTGCCAAATCACTATAAGTTGTTAAGTGAGCAGGTTAGAAATGGATTGAAATTTATTTTTTAAAATTATTATATCTCGATAACAAAACGGTGAAGTGCTATTTTTATTTTTTTAACTTATTTTAAAAACATTTTTCAACACTCCTAATTTTTTTTCCAATTCTGTCGAGAGAATTTTTTAATATCATAAAAAATAGTTGGAGAGACCGGACATTTTACATGCTTTAGATGGAACATGACCTTCAAAATCGCCAACTTTGACTTTAAATATCTCGCGATCTAAACGGTCAAAAATTATGAAATTTCAGGAATTTATAAATAAAGCTGAACCCGTAAAAAAAATTTAATTTCAGCCGAATCTGTCGAAAAGTGATTTCATGCTAGAACTACCTTAAACTATATGGTCTGTGTTATTTAATCTTCAAGAAGGTTATTTCAGCTCAGTAGAGTTAAATGAATTTTAGTATTAAATACAGCTATGAACTCAATTGAAATACGTATAAAAATTCATGATACTGAATTCGACAGACATCTAATAATTTTTTATAATTTCATAACAATTAAATTGTAATGAAAAAAATTTAGAAAAAAAGTTTCACATGCAGAAATTAAAATACTTTTTTAATAATTATTGATTTGTTATAAAAATTTAAAAAATTGACAGATGTCAACTAACTTCAGTATCATAAAAATTCATTCAAAAATCTAAAAAAGTTTGGTAAAACTAAAAGGGCATATAATAAAGAGAATATTAAGTATGGCATTTATCAGGGAAGTCAGTTAAATTGATTAAACATTTTAATTATTGCATATTCTGAATATACAACATACCAGTTTTGTTTAAGTCAAAAAAATATTTTTTTTAGCTTACTTTGCACGGAAAAAAGTAAACTGTAATATTCACTCGGATTCCGGTTAATTTTTATAGTTTCAAACAGTAAAGCGGACATCGGGGTGGCAAAAATGTAAATATTACAGAACTTAATGTAGAAAGTATAAAAGCCACAATTTATAATTTAATATCCAAAATAAGTGATTAGTAGTTGTCACTATAGTAAATAACCACTCTTTCATCTTTAATGTAGTTCCAGCGTGGTATAGTATAGTCAGAGCATTTACTATAGATAAAAATTTAAAAGCCTCGGCACACAGACGTTCACACATACAATTACATATTGTTAGTCTAGTGATCTGGCAACGTTGCTCTTGAAAACCGTGAAAGATTTGAATTTCCCGCTTTTTATGCTACACTATTTCAGGGAGCGTTGCGCACGGCGTTGCCAAATCACTATAAGTTGTTAAGTGAGCAGGTTAGAAATGGATTGAAATTTATTTTTTAAAATTATTATATCTCGATAACAAAACGGTGAAGTGCTATTTTTATTTTTTTAACTTATTTTAAAAACATTTTTCAACACTCCTAATTTTTTTTCCAATTCTGTCGAGAGAATTTTTTAATATCATAAAAAATAGTTGGAGAGACCGGACATTTTACATGCTTTAGATGGAACATGACCTTCAAAATCGCCAACTTTGACTTTAAATATCTCGCGATCTAAACGGTCAAAAATTATGAAATTTCAGGAATTTATAAATAAAGCTGAACCCGTAAAAAAAATTTCAGCCGAATCTGTCGAAAAGTGATTTCATGCTGGAACTACCTTAATAGGTTTATAGACTAGTGATCAGTATTGTGATTTGTATTAATTACTGCAAATTAAATAAGTTTTATAACTAAAAATTAGTATAGTTAAAAATTATTGAACGTTTTGAATTGCGTTTTTTTGATTTATAATTGAAAATTTACTTTGTCATTCATAAAAAATGTAATTAAAAAATTAAATACAAATATTTTTCATTTTTAAATGAACATATTAAATATTTATAGTATTATTTTTAGTATTATTCAATGATATGTTATAAATCTTTGAATATTTCAATAAAACGTTAAAAAATTTTGGTGTGCCTATTGCCGCATATATTTTATTAGTTCAACTACTGCTCCCGGAGTGTTCAACTACTTCGGCTTGTCAGAATTGATTGTTCAACTACTACTCCTTTCATAGTCTATCTTAAAAACGTTGTCAAATTATAAATATTCAATTATTTGCGTTATTTTGCACTTCAATCAATTCAAAATTGTTTATATTTTCATGAAAATCACTAATTTGAACTAATAATTACATCTTTATTTTATTTTATCCGTAGGAAATTTTTAGTGAATCAATTTTTTCTACACAATTGAAATATATTTTTATTAAATGCAAGAAACCAATTTTTGAAGGAATCATATAAAATTCATAAGAGAAAAAAAAATTATTGTTAGTTTTCGAAAATTATTCTTGGATGAAAAATTTTATGGTATCGATTGAAGATAATGGTTTATTAAACCAAGATTACAAGATCCAAGATAAAAAATTTTCGGTTGTCTTCAAAATAAGTTCTTGGATCAAGATAGTTTTTCTATCAGTGTACTTTCTGTTTTAATGATATGTGTCGAACTTGTGCAATCACTAGTTTATTGCTAGAATTCATTATCATAAATCGTGTATAATATATCTCAGTAGCTATAGTGAACATGGTGGTAAAATGGAGTAAAGGATGTAAAGTATAATTTGTTGTTGAGATGTATGGTATAGTTTAGTTGGCTAATTTAGTTAATTAATGGTAAATGTGCGCTAAATATATTGTTGAGATTATAATGGATTTGCGATAGAATAAATCTCAATGCAACACTTCGACTGAAGAATTGTTGGGGAGATTAAACGGAAACGATTTAAAATAATCAGTTAGTCTGGATGGAATTTACGGTTTCAAAAGCTTTTAAAGTTGTTCCAAGTTTTATCAATACTAAATATAAGTAGAGTGAAGATGTCTTTTAGAAAGTAACTTATTTCGAGTAGAAAATGATTAAAGTTCAAAATTAACTTGCGAAAATTATATTTCGATTTTTAGTTACATTGATAAAAAAACTTTACGTACAAAGACATCACGTGCATATTCGGCCGATTATATCAAACGGTAACAGTACAATTGCCTACTGCTTCAATGTTTATGGATCAATATTGTTTCAAATAATAATTGCAAGTTCATTTGTGCGTGTATAAAAATATCGCTTGTAGTTCAATTGCTGCGAACAATCATTGTGAAATTAGTAAAGAGGAATTGATTGTGCTTTTGATTATAAGCAGTAGATGAACATGCAATCCTTCTCTACATGTTATTGAGCAATTTGTAATCGTTTGTATCAGCTGATCAATAAGCAATTGTGCATAGGCTTTTGGTATAATCCGTAAAAATTATTCAGGCTGCTCACCAAAGTTTCTTTACAATAATCTTCTTTTACGCTCAATAAT